GCAAAGCATCATCTGCATGTACCTAAAAGATGTGGATGTAGTGCAGCCATCTCCTTCTCGTCGTCATGCTCTTTGTCGTCTCGGAAATGAACGTCCCGTCAACAACATTCAAACTTAGGATTTACCTGATTAGAAAAGAGCACAAAACGATGTCAAACTTGTGCTTCACAATAATAATCGTTAGTCATGGACCAGAATTATTTTCAATGATTCAATCTGTGATATTCTAAAGTATGCTTAAAAAGAAAAGATTGATTAGTAAGCCACAATAACGGGAAGTGTGATAGGATTTGCTTAGCAGAGTTGTAATTAGGACTTGAATCAAAATGAAAGAGATTGGCATATAAGACGATACTTTTTACTCTTAAGACAATGCCTGATTTTACCCCTCGTCTTATACACTGATTCAAAGATGAGTTTCAGAAAGAACTCTCCAGTTAATAGTATATTTAACTAAAACTACGTTGTTCATTTTACTTTTTTTTGTTTTTTTGAGTAAGTGGGTTGACATCGTGCCATCTAGTGGGTTACAATAACATATTTGTAATTGTATCATTTGTCTCGATTCTTCATAGCTAGAAGTTATTTATCTCACATACTACTTACAACTAATCACGACATTGTTGATTTGAAAGGCATTGTTCTCATCCGTCATAGTAAAATATTGCTGATATTATATCAAAAAAGTAGTTTCTGTAACGCTCATTAATTTTGTAAACATGTTTTTATAATTGATCACTATATCTTAAGGTTTAGGATTTTTTGTAATAGGAAAGGGATTTAACTGTGATGGAAACTTGGTAAAGTTGTTTATTACATGTTTGTGACTTAAGTTATGCCGCATTGAGCTGTCTGTAGCGTTTGAAGAGATACACTTATGAGTGTATTTATTTTCCCAGAGCGCAGGTTAGCACAGTTTAAAAATAACTTCTAATAATCTATTTACAAAAGTAACATCCTAGACTTGCTTGACAATAGAGGTCGTCCTATACACCGAACCTCAAAGAAATACACTTAATTTGCTCATAAAATCGAGGGTCGTCTTAAACACCGGCAAATACGGTAGTAGTTAAGTGTATGCACTGAATGAACAGTTGGTAAAACTTTTAAGTGTAAATTCGATATTAACTGGCTTACTCTGATAAATATTAAAAACATCTCACCCATTGTTTAATGTAAGCCAGTTTTCCTCTGTTTGCAAGGTATTCATTTAAATGATATTGAATATTAAATTCTAGCAAGAAACTGTGATATAACAAAGAACTTGAAATAAGCCTTTAATCCATTGGTTAATTAATCAAATCTTAGTGTGAGTTTCAAGCTTATGGATATTCTTGTGGAATTTTGCTCGTGCATCTGCAATAGTAAGGTTGAAAATTCGTGACTTTCTAGATATTGAAGCCAAACTTCGTTGCTTTGTTTAAAACTTGCACTTTCTTTAAAAAAAGGAAAACAAGAGACTAATTCACATTTGGTTCAGGTTTAAGTTGATATTTGTGTTGTCAAATGAAAGAGTTTATCCAGGATTGAAGCTGGTCGAAGGTTTTGTATGTACTCAACTTCAAGTGGACATTCTATTCCCACAATATGTTCTTTATTACTGATGTTTTTTAACTTAAAGAAAATATGTTTTGTAAGTGTTACTTGTGAACAATAACAATGTTTTTGAAAACGACTTGTTAATATTTGTTAAAGTTTTTGATTAAAACTATTCTCCAAAATAAAAGTGCCAAACTGGATTTGATTTAATTAATTAAGTTTTAATTCAACCATATGATTAAGCTATATTCCAAAGAATTTATTTGATTTCCATTTATAAGTTAAATTTATTTTCCAAGTTGCCAAATAATTGAAAGAGTGGTTATGCGAGGCCATCGAGAAAAATCTATAATTCATGAGTGAAATCGATACACCCTACAGCAGATCCTGTTGACGTTTCTGTATTGGACGTTGTCAGTGTTGGCTGACATTCTGAATAAGTCTCCAAAATATTCATATTTTAATATTTGAAAATACACAAGGAACAAAGTGATGATGGGATAATTTCCTAATGAACTGGTGATAAGAGTTTGTTCTTTGAAACCATATTATGAACACAGTGTTATTATACTAACTTGTACGAGTTATTCTAAAACGTTGTTGAATACAACACGCTATTAAAGATTCACAATATGCCCACCACGGGTATCGAAACCCGGTTTCTAGCGTCGTACGTCTGCAGACATACCGCTGTGCCATTGGGGGCGGTAATGATCATTAAACTGAAAAAGTGCAAAATAGTAATTCAAGCATTACATTTGAATTATAGCGGCCCCGCAAATTTAGTTTCGCTATTTTACGTATAAGAAATAAAAAATAGATTCTGCTAGATAGAGAGTTTTGCTAGACTTGTAAAGATAGAGCACAGATAGCCCATTGTGTAGCTTTGTGCATAACTACAAACAAACAAACAATTATCATTACCCGTATAATGCAAATTTGATTTCTTTAACTAAGTTACGAACGGTAATTAGGAGGCCTACTTATTTACGTGCTCTAATGTAAATCAATGCCAAATTTGGGTTCTGCTATCGGGAAATCCCCGCAAAAATGTTTTGGCGAAATACCGAGTTCTATAAAGGTTTGGGTGGAAAGTTTTACCTTTGTGCAAAGCTCGGGGCCGAGACGATTCTTTTGGTACTATTTAGAAGTTGTAAGTCCAGTTGTTTATTAGAAGGGGTTTTCGGTAAATCCCCTGGTTCCCTAAGAGGGTGAGGTGAAAAATTCTACCTTTGTGCAAATTTCGGGACCGAGACGATTCGTTTGGTATCATTTAGAAGTCGATGCAACCAGTGGTTTAGGAGGAGTAACATGACACAAACACACAGACACCAAATCTTAGTATATTAATATCGATTAAGATTTTTCTGATTTAGAAATAAGTTTTAAAAATTGTGAAAACAATTGAGAAAGGATAGGATGGAAAACTGTATTATACTTTTAGAAAGAAATATGGAGTTGTAAGTTTGATGCAGTTTTTAACAATATGTAAAAAATATATAAATGCTGTTACCCTATCAGTTTATAATGTTGATCTCTGCTTTTATACACGTGAATGAACACAGCATTTATCAGATTTATTTAACTACTAGTTTCTAACTTGGTGACAAAATGAACGGAAATAATGGAAGATAGTTACTGGGTTGATTTATTGTAATTTATTTTAGGTGTCATTACTAGTGGTACCAGTATATTATTAGTTGTTACAATCATTTGTCAGTATTTTGAATTCAAAGTTTGTTTGTAGTTAAGCACAAAGCTATACAAAGAGCTGTCTGGTTTGTGCTCACAGCTGGTGTCGAAACCCGGATTTTAGCGTTATAAGCCTTTAGACTTATACTACTGAGAGGGTCTCTTTGTGAAAGAACAAAGTGAAGTGGGTAACATATAAGCTTTATAAAAGGAAAAAAAGAATACATTTAGAGTTTTAGTTTTATTCAGTTTGCGTATATTTGAGCCACAAGTCCACGGTGAAGTAATAAAATTTTCAGTGTTCGTTCATCGTCATCTGTGGCAACCGGAGAATTTAGATCTTTATTTTTAACTTTTTTACCAATTCTTTAAATATTTGCTATTTCTTAAACGAGTAAAAAAAAGGTTATGATATGTATGATGCTTTTCTGTCACGTGTCCAGCCATCATCATTGCTTTCAGTATAGGTTGTGACAGAGCTGAAAAACTGAACAATTTGGTTGATGTACATAGCAATTATTTTTATTTTTGATGTTTTGTTTTATAGACATTATTTTATACACACAAGATGAGAATAGTGCACATTTCTCTGGAATTTTTATAAAGAATTTAAATATACTTTTGTGTGAAATTGTGGATGTTTAGTTTTAAAGTCTGACTTTCATATTTAAAAAAAAGCTTTACTTTTGTGGAAGTTTATTGAATTGTGTTTCGTATAGAACTCGTCAATGAAGGTATCGCTAAAAGTCATCATCTTTAGTTTAAATTCAAATTAGTCGTCGTTGTATTTTGTTAAGTTTCTGAAAATTAAAAATTCTAAGCTTTATCGTAAAGTTTGTAGCATTTTTACTTATCAGTTACAGTTTTTTACACGTTATTAATTAGTTAAAACGAAAATACCTGTGTACAGGTTGGCCAGACGTTCCAATTTATAGAATGCTGACCTGACGGAAACTTTTTGGAATGCCCAAATGTCCCGGTTTTCATATTTGTTACCTATTTGTAAGTTATATATATATATATGTATATATTCTAACCATCTTAACAAATAGATACGAAATTTTTAAACTGAGTAGAGAAATTATCCCACTGTTCGGAATGACTCAGGATAGCCTTTGCTTCTACGTCAGAAACAGGCAAAATGGCAGGCTGCAGCAGACGACGTGACGTCACTGCTGCAAACGCCATTGAGCACTGATTTTTTTTTCACCCACCAAAACATAAAAATACAGTGGAATACAAGTAGCAGGTGCTATTGACAACCGATGTTTGATTTTTAAGTCGTGAAATATTTATTTAAAGTAATTAACGAATGAATATGAATAGCAGTAACTCGGAATTTTATAATAAACTCGTAGCTAACAAGAAGTTACTCGAACAAATTCACTTATCAGAAATGCATCTGCAGCAGTAATAAAATTAGTGAAAGTATTATTCATAATTGATAGTGTTTAATTTTCCTTTAAAAGGGAAGCGCAGTATTAAGATAAGAAAGATAAGATAATTCTAAAATCTCGACACCCTATCTGAGTATTTATTTGATAACTAGTAATAAAGTTTAACACTAGATGACAGGGTAAGCATTATACGTCCAGCTATATTTTAAAGAAACCCAACGCCTAGTTGCTGGGTGTACTCGTGCTGTTTTTTGTTTTAAGTACTTGGAAAATTTGGTTCAGGCGTTTTCCAGGAAGTAACATTAAGTTATATAAATAAACAAAGTTTGGTTACAAAGTAACCAATTTAGAAATTAAAACACTGACAGGCCTGTTTCACATTCGGAACTATTGGACGATAGTGTTTAGTATAAAGGTTTGTCAAAAGTTGTACTAGGCATTTAATAGATTTGTGTTAGTTTATTTAGGTTATAAGGCCCATTGTTTACTTCTTTAAATTATATATTAAAGTTAGTACGTTTCAGCATAATAATAGAAATAATGAAATCACTTCTCTCCACGGGCCATACAAGTTGTCCTTGAAAGCCCGAAATAGCGAGAATGTTAAGACTTGTAGAGATTCAAATAACTACGTCATGCTAAAAGAAAAACCGAAAATGTTAATCAACAGATCTGATTAGTTCTATTTGAATTAATATAAGCTAGTTACTTTATTTGTGTGCATGACGTAATTTTTGTAATTGACTGATGTATATTATTGGTTTCATCAATTAGTACAATGTAACAGAACACAGACTTTGTTTATTTATTGAATTTCGCGCAAAGCTAATCAGGGCTAGCCGTTCTGATTTCAAGTGATAGACAGCTAGTCAACACCACCAACCGTCAACTCTCTCGCCACTTTTTCCCAACGATTAGTAGGATTGACTGTTACATTATAACGTCCCCGCGGCTGAAAGGAGAGGGAGCATGTTCGGTAACGGGATTCGATATTATGACCTGCGCCTTATAAGTCGATCATTCTAACCACCAGGCAAAAATATATAGAATTAAAAAGTTTTTTTTCTTTATGAATTAGGATTATGAGTAATGAGAAAGAACTTGGAGATATACATATCTGAAAGTTTCATTTCATCCATATTTATTTTGAATATTCATCCAGAAAAATATTTTACATAAAAAAATACCAAAACTTCTACATAAATTATTTCTAGATTAACATATCTGATATTTAATGGAAAAGAAAATTTAACCCAATTCGACATGTTGGTGTTATCTTTATTGTTTTTGTTTGTTTGTTTTTTACTGCTATATTCAAAGATAACTTGCTTAATAATAATTATCCTTTTTGTTTAAGAGTTCCAAAATTTCAAGAACATTTGAATATACATACTTAAGTTTACTGAAACCAGAACCGAAGCGTCTCACCCGATATGTCTGTGGTAAGTTGTAAAAGTGTGTGTGTGTTTCTGAAGTGTCACATCGAGCTATCTGCTGTGTTCAACGAGAGGAATCTAACCCAATATTTCTGTGGTAAGTCGTAAAAATGGTTATAATTTTCACTTTGTCATAAAGGACAAAAACGTGTTTTTTTATTCGTCACAATTAACGAAATCGGGTTTTATATTTTAACATTTTTATGATATTTTGTAACATTTGTGTTATGAGTTCTGTCAACATTTTTTAAACTAAAATGATCATATGTATAATCGTAAACAACTACACTTTTTCGATATTGGGCAAAACATTTGCAATTCTTTTTCACTCTACACATAACCTGGTATAAAAGTTTATTTGAGGAACTGCAAATTAAAAGGTAGGATGAGTCTGTCTGTTTTGAATTTCGCGCAAATCTTCACGAGAGCTAATTTCGCTAGCCTTCCCTAATTTAGCAGTATAAAACTAGAGGAAATACATCTAATCATCACCACCAACGCCAACTCTTGGGCTACTCTTTTACCAACTAATAATGGTTCTGACCGTCACATTATAACGCCCCCACGATTCGAACCCGCAACACTCAGATTGCGAGTCGCGCGCCCTAACCATCTGGTCATGCCCACGGATGATAGGATGAGGGTTCAGTGTATAGTAATAAGTTGACCAAGAAATATAACCTAGAAAATAAAACAAACATACATATCTTTGATAGAAAGGCGGAAGACTTTCGAAACGTTATCCTTTACACTTGTTTTTCTACAACAGGCAGTTGTCGTCCATTCACCTAAATTTCGACATACATTTCTACGTGTGTATATATATGTGTATTACATACGAGCCTTGTAATTTGCTCTTCAAACTTTCCTGTAATTCTGAAGGTGTAAACAAGTTCGTTATTTTAATAGTAAGTACTAAAATTTTCACTAATATATATCTAAAATACTTGTCTTTAATTTTTTGTGTATTTTTACCATGCGTTGTATAATGAAGTCTTTGTTCCAACACGACGATTAATTATATTTTGACAACAACATATTACAGTTTTGCTTAGAATGTAAGGAATGTGGACTTCAGGCAATCTATAAAGACCGATAGAGAAAAGTTCAAGATTAGTTTCAGGTGACTACAGTTACCTTTTCCTGAGGATATACGTGTTTGTCAGAAGGAGTTTTTGTCTTCTGACAGCTGATAAAGATTTTAACGCAGTTGGTATTCAATTGTTTTTTTTTTCACTCAATCCCAAGAGCTAACAATGTAGACAGCATTGTTTCTGAACTTTACGGTTCTATCTCATAACAGCGATAAGTTTACGGACTTATAACGCTAAATTACGGGGTTCGATTCCCCGCGGTGGACACAGCAGATAACTCAATGTGGCTTTGCTCTAAAATAAACGAACAAAATATATCTGATAAATACGATAATGATTACTAGAGCGGACTATTAAATATCACAATTACATCTAACATACAAATTAATTTCCAAAAATTCCAAACTCTGTTTGTTTGATACAATGGATAAAGTTTAATTGAAAGTTACAATTAATATTAACTTCTGATCAATCTACTTATACAAATCATAACTAAACATATATACATAGGAATAAGCGTACTTAATTAAATATAATGTTAAAGCTATACATCAGTTATAATTATCAAACTATATTATTTATAATGATTGGAGCGCATTGTTTCATCAGTTGGACACCTTCGCTGTTAACGATATTTTCAGCCGTAAACTTATTTTGAAAATGTATATGAGACCTATTGTACAAATTATGTGACTTTTTTTTAAGAAAACGACACCCGTGAGATTTCTTTTCAGCTAATTCTTCTTGCATTATCTTTACAAACCAAGCAATGTGATAAACAGGTATATCATATTTTACAAACGTGATCTTAAATGTGTTATTGAGGTGATATAGAAAGAAAAAATACAGTCACACAAGTTGTCTTTGAATTTCTAAATTTCAAAAGATATAGCATGCTTTAACAGAATATAGTTATTTATAGTAGTGAGTGGTTAATGACCACAATCAAGCAATTAGGCCTAGCCGAATCTCTGTAACCTTCATATAAAACGGGCAATCTTGAAGAGATAGGCTGCAGCGAGGGTTGAAGGTCATCGTTAAGTGTGGGTTTTCCTTCGGGCAGTTTGGAATTGTTTATCGAAGCTAAGACACTTTTATGAGTAACACAGATGTTGGTGTGCAAGTTACACTAGGTAGGTAAATTCAGCAGGTGTCCTTCCTAATAGTATGCACAGTAAACCGAACCATCTAGGGACTTTAAATTATACTAATAAAGTACACTTGTCTTCAGTAAATTTGATTTAGGGTCATTACTTCCTTACAAATTCAACTGTTGGTGTTTTTGTCTATAACTCTAGTCTAGACTGGGTACTACTCTTAACTAGGTATTTCAAAATTTATTGATAGAACAAAATGTATTCGAACTGAGTGTCTATTAACGAAACTGGCGCTTTAATTAATTAAATGTACATTCCGTTTTTATTTCATGAAATCGCGAGTTTCATTATTCGTTGTCAGCATGTATCAATCATAACTGATGAGTAATCCACCAATCTGTAAACATGTTTCTCAAAACAACAAAATTCTTAAACAAAATACTTTCATCTTTTTCCCCATGCATAATTTAAAAGGCTTACTTCGATTTGACAAATAAAATTGAAGGATTTTGTACTGTTAAAATAAATGAAATTATTGAAGCTATTAATATAACTAAATTAAATATGAAATATATATATATATATTGTTGATTTTTGCGTTTTGTCTTTCCCAGTAAAATTGTATATTGCTAAATTCCAGAGATTTTCACAACAGATTGTTGTAAAGTAAAAGAAAAAACTTAATAAGCGAGACTACGATGACAGCATATAATTCAAAAGAATGGTTCCACATTATAGGTTAAATCTACGTAAAAGGAGCACAAAATTAATTCAATATTCGCAGCTGTTGGCAAGGAGAATTATGCCATTCTGTAAATTGGTGATTTTAAAATCTCTCTCAATATATCAATAATTACAACGTAATAAATATCGTCGATATACTTCGGTAATTCTTCAAACAGCGAAACAGCTTGAACTTGTAATTACTCTCAGCTTCAGAGAATTAAAGCATTTATGAAATTATGGCACTTTTTATTGTTCGATACCTAAAAGACAGAATTTTATTTTTGCCTCTGTTATAAATTTTTACCATGAAATTCTGTGCGACAAATACAGATTTTAAATTACATGACTATTCATCAATCTCGGATTACAATAAAATGCGTTTTCAAAAATATTCGTTAACGCTGTTTTAATGTTTTGTTTCCGAAGCTATAGAAGGGCTATTTGAACAAAACGGTCCATTATTTGGAACTGATATATGAAAGCAGGGCTGTTCAACTGGCGAACCGCATCAAGCATAGGAAGGACCCCTCAGGGGAAACTTAAGTTTGTAAAAATTACTTATATCACATTTTAAAAGTAACACTGTTGGAAAGGTGGACAGAATATAGATGCAATCCGCTCCTCTACTGGTTTGAAATTAAACAACACTGGAGTAGAGGAGAGCTAGATAATCGACGGTAACCCACCGCTAACCTTTGGGCTACTACTGTCTGATCGAATAGTGGGATTTCACCGTTACTTTTCGGGGATACCCCTGGCTCTAAATTGCGCGGAACCCGCTGATTCACAATCCCACCACGTTAACCACTAGACCGTGCCCGAATTTAATTCAAATGATGTCTTGTGAATTAACAAATTGTATATATTTAACTGGGAGGGAGATATACATATATATAACAGTTTAAACAGTTCTACATACATTAATGGATTTGCTAGTTAGTAAATATTTGTTAGAAGAATTAAGACACTGCTTTAAACAGATTTTTGACAAACACTATTTATTATTATTATTTCTTAATTACTTTACCTTTTCGTATGGTGTTTTACTGACGTGAGCTAATGATAAAAACTATAAGGTAATCAATAAATTAATGTCGCGTTTTGGAACACTTTCATTAGCCACACCACAAAAACGTACATCACGTATAATAATTATAGGAACCGCCTAAACGTCACGTTAGTGTAGCCTATTATAATGTGTAAAGTTTAGTATACTTTAATCCCTTATAGTGATAGCACACGACGAGACACACACATTCGGCAAGTAATGCTGTTTGAATACAAGAAGGGAAACAACGCCTCTGTAGCCACAAAGAATATCAAATAAGCTGATAGAATTGTTTTTTAACGTTCGATGGTTCAGCAAATTTCGTTCAGGTGACTTTAGCCTTAAAAACTTTGGTGGCAGGGGCCGACATGTTGGAATTAATATTGATGCTCTAAAAACGCGTGTTGGGTCTAACCCAAGACAACACACTCGTGAAATGGCCCTGAAATCACATGTCTCTTATGAAACAATACGTAAACATCTAAGGAATATGGGAAAACTCTATAAAGAAAGTGTTTGGGTGCCTCACAAACTTTCCCATGATCATCGTTTCCAACGTGTGAACGTTTCTTCGTCTCTTCTGGCGCTGGAACCATTTTTGGACAGAATTGTCACCGGTGGTGAAAAATGGATTCTCTATGCGAATATTAAACGCCAAAAACAATGGCTCACTCCCAGACAAAGACCACTTCCGACCCCAAAACTTGGACTCCATGCGCAGA